TGGTTTTTAGTTTGTTTTTTGTCTTTTTGGGAGCTGACACAGTCTCTATGGAGATGGGTTTTTCAGTCCAGCTCATCCTTGACCTTCTCCATCTCTTAGAAAGGTTATGACCACCCGTAACCTCCCTCAAAGCAGGATGTCTGGAGATCTTCCAGTCTACAATGGGTCCACCGTGAAGGTGCAATAACAAGGGGTCCACTTGTGATAGCATTCTACATGCATGAATACAACTGGTGAACACTAAAGTGAGGAAATAATAGCACTATTACTAATGTGAAAATTGATTAATACATAAGAAAAGAAATCTGCCACCACATCATGAATAACATACCGCTGGTAAATACAGACAGAAATGAACAACTACAAGATTAAGTCTGCATGGCCCACAAGCTCATGCGACCCTAGGATGTTGCTGTCATCTTCCTGCTCCTGAAAAACATGCATACATCCACCCTTTTCCTTGTGTGGGTGGAGAAGTTGCAATCTTGCATATCAGTGTAAAGTCAGTCAAACATTTGTCCCCATTATCAGTCCAGTCAGTCTCTATATCTTTATTGCTGATAGCAGAACTTCTTATTTCGAATTAAGTTTCTACAGCTAGCTTGTTGTTTCATTAACATTAAAAAAGAAAGAAGTCTCTATCGTAGTCAGGCACAGCTAACTCCTGTTTGCGAGTTAACTTAGCCAACCACACTGTTTGTTGTTAACAGGTACCCCCTCATGATGTGTGCCACTTCCTATCTGATTTTTGCTCCCCCTATATGGAGGAATACAATAGCCACACACTTCAAAAACCGAATTCTGTGCTTCGATAATGAATTGTAGAATAAATTCTGCATTTGTAAAGTCACTTTTGAATTCCACATTAGCAAAGAGATTTTTGAAATGTTTTATGAGGTGCTTGGAAATGTTGTAGGTGGCTGAGTTTATATTGCTACCAATGAGTCTGAGCGGGACTCCTTTGTGGAACTATGGAAGTCTGTATATACAGGGTGTAGCATCCCCTGGGTAAAGGCGGTGACATACAGGACAGTCAGTGACTTTTATCCTTTCAGGTGCTTGTAGGGCCTACAAGCACCTGAAAAGGAAAAAGTCATCAAGAAAAAGTCATCAATTGCCTACAATGACTTTCTTTTTATAGCTGCTTCTGGGCTTTCACCTTGAAGTTTCATAGGTATTGTTGTCACTAAGGAGTGTAGTAATGTTTATTTGCTCTGCTTCTTTTTTATCAGGAATAAAATAAATATATATACTTTTTTGTGCCCCAGCTGAGTAACAGCAGAAGAGTCTGGTGGAGCAGCAGAGGAACAATTTCAGCCATTTGGACTCAGCTCAGCCACTACAGAGGAAACAATGACTTCAACACAAAAGGTGAGAAAAATATCACAGTTACATTGTTATCGAAACTGTGTGCACAGCTGGTTGGTTTTTAAAAACCCTTTAACACCAGCTTTATATTTCCATCCTGGGCTCATCCATATATAGAGATTGACAGACCATGTGACTTTTGCGCATTTCATTGTGGGTACGAGTGGCAATAAAATCAATACACCGCATCAAGCACTAGCATTTCCAGCACCTGTAATCATAAATTTTGTGCTTTTAATCCCAACTTGCATTTTATTTGCCCGAAAGACAGTTATGTACAAAACAACGGAGAATACGGCAGGTCCGTACAAAGACAGAGTTGACGAAAAGGCATAAAAAAAGTACAAGGAAAATATCTGAGTGAAAGGGTTAGACCCATACAAGCATACAGAGTGGAATAAGGATGTTACTGTGCTGCCCAACTTTCATCACGCACATATTTATTCTTATATAGTCCTAAGTGTGAGTGCATACACTCACAAAATGTTTAGTAACTTCAGATCCCTGCAACAAGCCCAGGTCCAGTTTACTTTGGTGATTTGTACATTCCTGCACTTTGTAAGCTGGTTTTCCTACAAAACACAACAAACGTTAGCCCGCAAAGCCACAGTGAACAAAGCAGCAGAGCGCAACAAATTCAATTCAAATCAATATAAGACTTATTTGTAACCTACATCAACAATTATGTTATTATAAATTACGGTATAACTACAACAGAAGACTTACCTTTGTGGAAATGCTTGGAGCAGACTAACATGTGAGCTAGAGTGTTCTGAAATGTTATATTTGGTCTGCAATCAAGGCCATCCGTCAGCTCTTTGTTACTTCGGAAACATGGCTTAAACAATTTCTCTTCCATGATGTAATCTGATAAAAACCGATCTCTTTACTCGTCGGCTTCCCATTTTACATCGTAATTTCAATCTCTATACTGAATCTACATTCTCAACCAAAAACCGCAGAAGTTAAAAGAACATACAAAGGTCATATTTTATCAGCACACATATAAACAACAATATCATCAGTTCAACTCACAATTATTTATGAATTGAAAGATTTTCTCCACTGATCAATATTTCTTCAATAATGTCATTTTCAACTCTCATTGAAGCACATCATTGTAATGTGATACTATGACCAGAAGGTGGTGGTAACACACAATCAATGTGTTTGTTGACATGTTTGAATCCACCAATGGAGGGAGTTTCAGTTTGTTCCACGACTGCATTTCACTCACTGCCTCTGTTTGTATCTCTGTCACTGCAGGACCAACATGGAGCAAGAAGTCAGCGCTCTCAGGAGGCCGACAAACCTCACAGAAGAAAGGGAGAGAAAACATACAGCTGTGATGAGTGTGGGAAGGATTTTACCCGGGCTGAAAGCCTAAAAAGACACCGACTCATCCACAGTGGAGTTAAAGCTTACAGCTGTGACTTGTGTGGAAAGTCTTTTACCCTGGCTGGAAGCTTAAAAGCACACCAATTCATCCACAGTGGATTTAAACCTTACAGCTGTGACTTGTGTGGAAAGTCTTTTACCCGGGCTGGACACTTAAAAAATCACCAACTCATCCACAGTGGAGTTAAACCTTACAGCTGTGATTTGTGTGGAAAGTATTTTACCCAGGCTGGAGACTTAAAAAAACATCAACTCATCCACAGTGGAGTTAAAGCGTACAGCTGTGACTTGTGTAGAAAGTCTTTTACCCAGGCTGGAAGCTTAAAAAGACACCAACTCCTCCACAGTGGAGTTAAACCTTACAGCTGCGACTTGTGTGGAAATTATTTTACCCAGGCTGGAAGCTTAAAAACACACCACTTAATCCACAGTGGATTTAAACCTTACAGCTGTGACTTGTGTGGAAAGTCTTTTACCAAGGCTGGAGACTTAAAAATACACCAACTCATCCACAGTGGAGTTAAACCTTACAGCTGTAAGTTGTGTGGAAAGTCTTTTGCTCGAAATAGCAACTTACAGAAGCATCTAGTTACCCACTCTGGAATTAAGGCGTACAGCTGTGACTTTTGTGGCAAAAGTTTCACCGACAAACGGTACCGAAATATTCACCTACGGATTCACACTGGAAATGATGTTTACTTCTGTGATCAGTGTGGGAAACTGTTTGCAACAGATGCACAGTTACAACAACACATGTTTACCCACACTGAGGAGAGACCTTATAAATGTGACCTGTGTGAGAAGACGTTTAAATCTCCACATCAGCTGAAAAAACACCAACAGATCCACTCCTGAAAGTAACTCTACAAGTGCAGTTACTGTGAGGTATGGATTATTTTTTTTATCTTGTTATTTTAACCTGATTGTTTGGAACAAGTCTGATCAGTAAACTTATGGAGTTATACAGAATGAACTGTTATACTGAATGAACTGTTTGGAAACATGAAGAGTCATTTTCGCCCGGTAAGCTGAGTGTTATAATATATTGATTAGAAGCAGAGCAACACAGATGGATCCAGTTCTCAACCCTGTCGTCACTGTGGTGGTGGGAAAGAGTTTCTTTGTAAGCTTTGTGGAAAACCGTCCAATCAATTATGGGACCTAAAACCACATCAATGTAGACACACTGGAGACAAAATGAACAATTACAAAGAATGTGGGAGAGGCTTCCACACACCAAGTACATTAAAATACACAAATTCTTCCACAGTGTGGTGATGAAGCACATCTGTGATTAGTGGGACGACCGTGGCTCAGGGGGTTGGGAATCGCATCTGTAACCGGAAGGTCGC